GGGATCAATTTATCGTGTCCCAACGGGATGCGACAATCGATCCCCGAATCGACGCTCTTACTCCACCAGCGGAGGTGGGAGTAAGCGCCGTCGACGGGAAGCCGCAGAGGTCGATTTTGCCGCCGTCCCTACAGCGGGGTAAGTTGGCTGCGATACGTCGAATTCAGCTACGCTATTCGCGTAACTAAATTTGCATATCTTAAATCGACACCCCCCCCCATAGTGAAGATGTAGCCTAGGAAATCTCCCCCTCCTTTCTCAGCTGAGAAATGGCTCCAATAAAATGCTACTGCACTACATACTTAACCAGGGCAGCCCATATTGGCTTCTCTTCCTAGAAATGCCTTATTTTGAAGGGGGGGGGGGCGGAGAGAAGGGATTTTTAGCACAAGTCCCAAAAACCAGAGAGGGTGGGGACCGGCATTCTTTTAACAATTAACTAGAACACGGGTTCCCCGATACTTTCCCCCTCCCCCAAGTCAGCAACTTTAAGAAAAGAAAAATACGGGGGGGAGGGGAGAGTTGTTGATCCGAATGCGTGTTGTAAACCCAGCCAACGGCAGAAGACAAAGCGCAGTGTTCGCCCCCAGCGCCGCAACCTCCCAATCACACCGCGCCTGACTGCGGTGTTTTCCTTCCCTGCTCAGCCGTGTGACCTCACCCCGGCCCTGCCCGCGCCGAATCCCATTACTGCTGCCTCAGCCGCAGAGCGCGAGACAAAGGAAGGTTACAGACACGCTAATCAATAGTTTTGATCTAATTTCTTTGCGTCAAGCTACAGGGGAACAAGGTGCCGTGTCTGAAACGGAAGGCTGGGAAGAGCGGGGCTTTGTGGGAATCGATACCCAGTGGAATAGCTGACAAGGTCATGCTGTCTGAAAAGCCATGAAGACAGATTGGAAGTTCCTCTCATTATCTAGATGTTGGTATTTTTAAATGCGATGACTTAGTGTCTGAAAAAAAATAAATAAATCTGGGCTTCGTTGAATAGCCACTGTGGTTTCAGAACTTGTTCAGGTACTGGGCAGTCTAGTCGGTTTTCTCCTGTTTTTATTATGGGGGGAGAAGTTGCACTTTGTCTGTCACTTAATTAGCCAGTAACTCAGTAGTTTTGCCTTGTATTTCACTGGCAGCTCCCAGGCAGGTAATTCATGTTTGACAGAACACTAGAGCTCAGCTAGGAAAGTCAGTGCAGCTGCCCCAATTTATTTAGCTGAGGATCTGAGCCACTAAGCCGAACTGTCCCCACCCCGCTAAACTCTAGATACAAACAAACACCACAAACAAAAAACCCACAGCACATTATGGTCTCCAATCAGCAAAGTGTGGGTGTCAAATTCCAACTGCCTGGGTGGTAGTGAACATCTACAGAGTTAGAAGTTTCCTAGAGAGTCAAACGTTCCATTTGGAGGAGGAAAGCGGTCTGGGTCCCAAGGAACTTCATCCCCCTTAGGTTATTTCCTTGGAAAATGGAAGTGGCACTGTAAAAGGTGCTCTGCTCTTTCAGGACCATGAATATAAAATTTCCCTCAACCAATGTGCAAAGCAACACTCGGAGCATAGCTCACTTCCACTAAGTTCAGCAGAAAAGAAGGATTCGGATTCCCATTCCCCTACACACACATACACACCCTTTAATAATCTCCCTAGATATTCTTCTGCCTAGACTATCACTGCCACACTCAGATCTCCACTTGCCACAGCACATCCCTTTTGCAATGTTTCTGTGGGGAATTAATGAATTCTCTACAGCTGGCTCAGCTCTGCTACTCTGCACTCAGGGCAAGCAGCTGTGTTCCTTCAACTAACCTCAAGGAGAAATAATTTGCCCTTTCCCTGCCAACCTATGGACCAGGTCAGTGTGCGTCATCACATGGGCCATCACTTTGTCCTAAAGTACCCAGGTGAGACTTCCACTGTCCGTGTTGCCTTACATCTCTGGTTGACATTATAATCATATCTCCATAGGCTTCCACTGAAAGGATTGGGAAATCATGGGTGTGAAAAGTAGCTAAAACAGATACATTGTAGCCTGGAGCAAAATATTGGTTTTACCAAATTATATTATTTAATATATAACTATTTGTAATTAGTATGGTTAGCCCGTTTATAGCATCTGTGGTATTAACATAAACCAGTTCATTAATCCGTTTTACATTGCTGCCAGCAGTTGCATTTTGGAGTGTTGTGAAGTGGTTAGAATGCAGGGATTGGGATCTGGAGCTACTCTCCTCTGTTCTTAGTTCTGCCACTGATTCAGTGTATAACTTTGGATGTGTATGGATGTATTTAATCCATCTGTAAAACAGGGATGCCAACACTTACCTGCTGGTCCGAGATGTTGCGAGAATTAGTTAGTATTTCTTCAGTGCTTTGAGATCATAAGCACTACAAAAGCATAGTTGTGGTTTTTTTGTTTGATTGATTGGTTTGAGGTTTTTCTTTTGTTTGAAAAATTTAGCAATAAAAAAATCTCTGAAACTGATTCAAAATTATGGACTTGCTGCTGAATAATGGAATAAATAACCATTTTTTTTATCTGTAAGTCCATTGCTAGCCAAGCTTCCAAATTCAAAGTTCAGCCTAATATAATTTGAAAAAGTCAGACACAAAACTGCAATCATGGATCTCACTTCTGCCAGCCTTACTCACCTTGTTTTCAACAGGACTACTCACAGAGAGTTTTGTACTCGTTTATGTAAACGTAAGGGTGGTAGAATTAAAAGCCCTGTCTGAACTATGGTGAAGCTGTAGGCACTGCTTTAAGACAGATCTTTGTGTGATTGTTTATCTTTGTGTGTTTTAAAGTCATCGCAGCAGAATATCAGTACTTATCCAAGGTGAAGTGCCAACATCATATTGACGTTCAACAGGGTTTCGTTGCTTAGTTCTCAGAAGTCTGAATGAACTTCAGTAAAAATTATTCACCACCAGAGGGTTGAATTCACGTACAAGACTTGGGTCAAGGATTTTGTCTGTGGAGCTTCCATGATTTTACAACTGTGGAGCTGCGTTCTAATGTAGGAGAGGAGCCCAAATCTTTTTCCTGATTTATCATGGATGACACAAAATTGCAGGTTAAAGATTAGGTAGATGGACTAGGTGGATTAGGTAGATGGACAAGAACATTAGGTTTTCTATTGCTAACATCTGTGATTGTATAAGGGAACCAATTTGTCTAGTGGTTGGAGCAGGGAGCCTGACTCAACAGAGCTATTCTCTGTTCTGCTGTTGACTTTGTCTATGACCTTAAGCAAAATCAAGTCATGTTTACCCTTCTAGGGGGGAGGGATAGCCCAGTGGTTTGAGCATTGGCCTGCTAAACACAAGGTTGTGAGTTCAATCCTTGAGGGGGCCATTTAGGGAATTGGGATAAAAATCTGTCTGGGGATTGGTCCTGCTTTGATTGATTCTATGGGTCTGAGACCCTCAGACAAAAAGTGTCACATGGGTACAAAGTGTTATTAATGATGATTATTACTGATTGATTTGTATTGTACAGCATTCTGCTAACAAGCACTGACTGGCTGACACATTCTGGGGATCTGCTGGCTGATATCACTTTGTACTCCTTTTGCTTTAAATGATGCCCCATGTGGCCGGACATGTGCAAGTGGGCATCATACCATCCCTGCATTGGACCAGTAGTTCTGTGCTTCAAGCTGTTTGTGTCCTGCAGGCAGCTACTAGCCTTAGTCTTTCAGCAGTGTAGGAAAACGAAGGGGGAGGAGAAGAGCCATGATGCCATTTGGTACTTGGTATTGAGGAGCTTAACTGTTTTCTCAGCTTGGCAGCCAATGCTGACACGATACTGCTCAGGAAGTCTCTCTTTGGGTACATCTATGCTAGCAACTGTACATGTGTCCAAGTGCGCAGTTGCACCATAACCCCTGTATTGTCCACATCTAAACCCAGAAACAGATGTTTGAAAGTGAATAGGGGGTGAGTAAGCAGGCCCACCTGAGGGGTGTGGGGAAGTACATGCCTCAGGCTGTGGCATGACTCCATACCCGTGTCGGTTTGCAGCATGGATGGGGGTAAGGGGCATGTACCAGGTCTCAAGTTTCAATAGTCCTCCGCCCTCAGCCCTATAATGTGGTGAATCCTTTTCTTCTGGACCCTTGCCCAGTCTATAAAAGTCCCTGTCCCCTGTCTTCATTAGCGGTAGCGAGCTGTACTGACCACATCAGAACAGCTTTCCACAGCATTCTTTTGAGCAATACAGCTGGTGGCCATGGCTCCTGCTCCGAGAGCAGCCGCCTGGCCCACCAGCTACACCCAGCTGCTGATCAATGTGCATTAAGTGGACTCCGGCTCCATGCCAGGAACATATAAAACACTTAAGGCTCCTGTACAGGAGGGCAAAAGACTTGAAAGTCGCTCTGGGAGGGCTTGTCATTCATGCCCCTTCTACGATGGGCTGGACGGGGTGCTGTCATGGGCTCCTAGTACAGAGCCTGAAGTGTCTCATGACCCCCCCCCCCCAAAGCCAGCCTGCCTCATTGTTCGACAGGATGTTGTGGGAGGTCAGGGGAAGAAGGCAGCCCCAGAAGATGAAGAGCATGTGATTTTGCACCTCTACATGAAGGAACTGGTTGAGGAGGACGCCAAGCCACCGCAGGAAGCAGACCTCAAGGCTGGTAAGTTACAATGGACCCCCGCTCTCCCTGCCAATATCTCCTCTTGCTTTGGTGTGACATTCTTGATGTTAAGCCCACCCCGAAATGACTCCAAACTAGATATGGCTGCAAATCAATGACTTCATTGATTTCTGATGAACCACTGTTATGCATTTGGCTGAATCTATGGCTCAAAACCAGATGTATTAACAACAACAAAAAATTCATTGTGCCCCTGTGTCTGTGCATTTCTCAGCCGACACACAGGCAGTGATGGTTCCGGGTTCTCGCAGACCAGCGGAAGTGAGGGGGAGGGTTGGAAAGGTACCAGCTGGGGATAGGACAAATACTTATAGTTGTTTGTCTAAAGTTAGTAACAGCTGTCTTTTGTCCCTTGGAAAATTACAGTTACGGTGCTTCTGCCCTTCTCTCCGGCCATCTTACCATCCCCTTACCAATGGGAGCTGTGTGGAATCGGGGGATGGGAACACCTTTGTTATCTGAGGAAGTTAGTCACAGCAGTCCTTTCTCCTTGGAAGATTACAAAATGTTTACCATCTCTGTCCCTTGTATCTGGCCTCTCCTGGGGCTGAGTTATGCTGCAAAAGCCAAGGGAAATAGGGGTGGGAGAAGGATCTGGTATGGCAGCTGGATATACACAATGCTGTGCTCCTTTGCACTCGAGAGGTGAGGGGCTTGTGGTGCTGATCTGAAATGTCGGGGACCCAAGTAAACTTGTGGTGTGTCCCTGTCTATTTCACCATTGTTGGGCAGGATTTTCTGATGATGCTGACCAGTTTAACCTGAATAGGGATCCGTGCTCCATATCAACTGCTACTTGGGATTCCATGCTTCCGATAACACGTTTGTAAACAAGTGTGAATAGTGAAAACAAAAGCATTGCACAATGACCGCATCGCAACTCGCTCACCACTCCCACAGCACAAACCCAACCCTAAAGTGTTAACCCAGTGGAGGTGCCCTGTTGTCTTTAATATGTGAATTGTCCAGGATCAAATGGCTAATGGCTTTGGGCTACAGGGAAACAAAACCCTTGCAAATCGGCAGAGTCCCCAGTGTGTACCAATGTTCCTTCATGTGCTTTTCCAGCAGCAGTGCAGGATTAGCTATTTATATGGATAATGAGAACCACCACTGTTACATTAGATAGTTTAAACAATTTAAACGCTCATCCAACTACTAAAGGGCTGGGATTAGATGGAAACTTCCCCCTGGGACAGGTTATTCCAGAACTGTCCACTCTGATGGTTCTTGCTTCTTCCTCTGAAGAATCTGGCCACTGTTCGAGACAAGCGACTGGACTAGTCTGATGCAGGAAGGCAATGTCTATATAACTGTGTTTCTATGTATCTGAAACAGCTGAGACTGATGAACAAAAAACACTGGGTGTCTCTCAATATCCATGGGAGGAAGACGATTTCTACAAGCTGCAGAGTTCATTGTGGAACGCACAACCTCAGCTCCAATCAAAGTGAGACAAATGGGACCTGAGTACTGAGCATGGCCATTCATTTTCCTCTTCTGAGTCTTTAATTTTTTCATTTTGCTCAACGGGGAGGTTTTTAAGTGTTTTTTTTTTTTTCAGACCAGTGGGCTGCATTATGGGGCTGAGGCAATGAGATTTCACTGAGACACCCAACAAACAGAAAACGAGTAAAAAATTGCAATGCCATTGCCAAGGTTGTTGGCCTAAGTTACTGTTGCTCTTGTTGACATAGATTTATCTTGGTTGTTTAAGTCCTATGAGTAACTTTGATGTGATGAAGTGCACCATGTTCCCAAGGTGTCTAGACAGAATTTTCAAAAGGCTAAAAGAATTTCTCTCACTGATGCTTCATCCAGTATTATGTGAAAAGGAACTGAAATCCATCCCCAAAGGGCTTAGGTGATATACCTAGAGGTAGTTTTGTTGCCCCACTGTTGTTCTCTTATCGTTACTTCTTGAGCTGCATACGCCAGTACCACCAACTGAGATCAGTAAATGCACTTGAGCTTGTTCTTTGGTTTAACACGCTGGGGGCTACTGGCAGAGTATTCTCACTCAGACCCCTCTGCCTCTGGGTTTCCTCCCTTATTCTAACAGTCTAAGCACACTGCCTCCCAGGCTTTCAAACAGTGGGGTGAGCTAACAAGAGGGTAACTGAGATAAAGGGGAGGGAATATCTTCATCCTGATGATTTGAAAAAGTGAGATGAGTTCGTAATTTATTTGTGTAGAAGTTGGGGAGATTGTTTGGTTTTGTTTTGTTGTGTTTTTTTGGGGGGGGGGGTCGGGGAGGGAAGAGATGTATGTGTTGTTGCTTGTATTGTACATATGCCTAGAAGCAAGGACAGAAAAAACAGCTATAATAAATGGGCTTGGGAATCTACTGAGTGGTGAATACTCGTCACGCACTGCAGGTCTCAGCGAATCCCATGCTATTGCTACTGCTATGTGCCCAGAGTATTCCAATGGTAAGTATAACAGGGTCCACGACCCACCCCTCTTCTTGGGGCCCGCTTGCTGCCCCAATAAGGCTCAGAGAGGCTTCAAGGTTGTGCAACACCCGTGTCTTTATTTACTTACAGTTATCCCACCACCAGTGTCTGTCTATTTACAAGCTTTACAGGATTATTCAACCTCTTTTACAGGCAGAATCAGCCTTCAGCTAGGAGGCCTCCAGTTCCCTGACTGACTGACTGACTTCTCCCTGGCTAACCCCAGCCTTCTGGCTCCCTTCCAGCCTTTATAGCCCTTGGCTTGTCAGGCCAGCAGGTGTTGCCAATCCTCAGGCCAGCATCAGGCCTTTTCCATCAGTCCCAATCTGTTTCCCCTGATTGGAGCTGACTGGGCAGGGGCTAATTAGGTGCTTTTGCACCAGCATCCTGCTACAGTAAGCATTCCTGGAAAAGATGAAGTTATACATATAATCCCTTTGCACATCTCTGGGACTGCATAAATAATAAATCATATCGATATACGATTATAGACTCAATGTGTACATTATCTAGGCCTGAGTAGTAAAATACCAAAGCACCCTCCCCCCCAAAAGCAGTGTTTGGATCCAGTGTTTTGTTTTGGCCCATTACCGAGACAAAAGCCAGATGTACAATACAGATCTGGGTTCTTATTCCCATTTCTTCTCTCCAAGGTTCTGAGATGTTTGGATCGAGCACTTGGTTGACACCCATCTCTATGATGCGGGCGAATATACAGAGAGACATCTGAGTTGAGGGATAAGGATGGGATACTTTGCAGTGAATTCCACACACCATGCCTGCAAGTATATGACACTCATGCTCAGGATGCCTGAACATTAGACAAACATTTCAAAAACAAAACAAAGGAGTCTCTTCTTTATTGTATTACCTATTTTGTGTTCATGCTATATGAGTTTGCTATTAGCTGATGGAGTTTGTGGTCCCATGAAATCTATGCTAAACTTTGACAATAACTTAAAGAAACCAACCCAGAACCAAACCAATAATCATAATACAAAGTTAGGAAAACCCCTTGTAAAACTTTTTAATTTCTCCCTCCTGCATCCACTCGAGGAGTCCCAAGCACTGAGAAACCCCTCCCCCGCATGCTCCTTAAGTGCTGTCCTAGGGTGGTGGGGGAAAGTTTGATTTTTTTAAAAGAAAGTTTTAATCACACCAACCCTTCCCATTATTGTTGAACTTTGTGAACTGGAATTGTTGAAATTTCTGCTTCCTCCTAGTAGGCACTGCAACCACAATGCTTCTTGTATGTGTCACAGTCAGTGACACATTGAAATTGGCACCTGTAGTGCAAGATGTCACACGTTATTAATTGCTTTTATATTATTTGTAGTACCGTAGTGCCGAGTATATTACTAGGATCCCCAGTCATAGTCCAGGACCCTATTGTGGTAGGCATTATACAAACTCAGAACAAACAAGACAACCCCTGCTCCAAAGAGCTTTCCACCTGAGTAATGGGGAATCCTTCACTTGATGTGAATTCCTTTAATTCAGACCAGCTGGATACTCCAGTACTCAGAAACCCTTCCTTGACTGCTCTAGTCTAGGGTTACCATATTTCAACAATCAAAAAAGAGGATGGTGGGAGCCCCGCCCTAGCCCCGCCCCTGCCCCTCCCACTTCCCACCCCCTGACTGCCCCCTCAGAACCCCCACCCGCTCCTTGTCCCCTGACTGCCCCTCCCCGGCTCTTGACTGCTCCCTCTAGAACCCCCCTGCCCCTTCTCCGACCCCCTGGCCCCCTTACCGTGCTGCTCAGAACAGCGTGGACACGCTGCCGCGCTCCCCCACGGAGCGCATAGCCCGGTTCCCGCCCTCGCAGAGTGCAGCAGGGGAGGGGGAGCAGGGGGAGGAACTCCAAACTGCTGGAGGCCCGATGCGAATGGCCGGTAATCTAAGAATGCAGGGAGGGGGAGGGGGGAGAGAGAGTAGGGGAGTGATCTGAAGCTGCAGGGGAGAGGAGGGGGGAAGCGGAGGAGGGGCTCTGGCTGCTGGAGCCCCGTGCGAGTGGCTCGATCCAGCTGGCTGCCCTGTCACGCTTTGCGGGAGAGAAATCCGGAAATGTACAAATTCCCCAAAACGCTATTTTTAAACTCAAAAAGCCGGACATGTCCGGGAGAATCTGGACGAATGGTAACCCTACTCTAGTCCATTTCTAACCCTCTCTAGGTGATATCTAACCTCCATTAAAAGCCTAAGACAATGAACTTCTGCTCTGGGGAGCTAAACGGGGACTGGAACATCCCTTCCCAGTCCTGAGGAAGGTTGTGGGGAATGCAGTGCTCTGTGCCTCTCTGTAACCACTGATCCAGTCTGTGGCCTGGAATAGCCACACTGCCCCTCCATGCACAATATTCATAGTATGGATCCAGTGACTCTACCCCCAAATCTTCCTTTCTGTTTCACTTTCAGAGCTGGTGAAGAAACTATCTTCCCAGCATACAGTGTATATGGAGGTGCCCTCGTCCAGCACGGCCAGCCTTCTGCCAGGGAACCTATTGCACAGGGACAGGGAATGTGTGTGGTAACTGGTGCCCCTGAGATCTGTGTATTTGTGGGGGCAGGAATCTGGTGGAGCTTGGAGGACCTCTCCCAACCTGTGGATCTAGAACCCAAAGAGACCCATGGAGCTCTACAGGATAAGCAGAAAGAAGGGAACTGCCTCCTTCTGCACCCCTATAGCCAGAATCCACAGGCACAAGTTCCCCTCTCTTTGGAGACATGTGAAGTGGCATTTGTGCCTATGCAACTGACATCACTGGGAATGGGAGCAGGCCCACTATACACACAGCTGACACCAGATTTTGCCAGGATTTATATCATGTGGATTCGCACTGGAGCTGGTGGAATTGCAGGGTGTTATTAGTGGGGAGAACATTTGGCTCACTGTATATATTCTTATTGTGTGTGGTTCTATCTACCTAGCACTTGCATGGTTATAAAAGCACAAGCCAGCTATTCATCATTATTTTTCAGAAAACATTCCTTTTGTTCAAATGCACCGCTGAGTTTATAAAACACTTCTGCAAAACAAAGTAAACCAAAGACACTCTCAGTGTAGGAGTGGTTAGAATTATGTAACGTTGCAGTACATTTTCTTACAGATTCTTTTTTGCGTTTTCCCTGCTCCCCTTCAGAATAGTATACTTGTGGGCTTTAAAAATCTTAAAATACATTTAAGACAAGGTTAAAAAAATCTATATTCCAGGTCTGAATTATACAAATTTGTTACAACCTTTGCTGGAGTTAGTTCCCATTGTGACACAACGGTGTGGGTTGTTACAGATTTGGGGTCAAAATCAAATTAACTGTGCCTGTGAGGAAGGCTAAAAGGGTTTGGATCAAATATGCTTCCCTTTCTTAGGAGTGCTGAAGTCCCAGGGAATGTAAATACTCTTTGGTTTAATTGTGAGGGTAACACATTTGTGGAAAATAGCTATATCTTAATGCTAAAGAATTATAAGGGCCCAATCTTGCAAGTTGCTACACATTGCAGTCAGTGGGAGTTGAGGGTGCTTAGCAGGCTGCAGGATTCGGTCTTAATTGTCTTGCAGCTAATAAAATCCACAACAATTTTTAAAAAAAGAGAGCAGGGTTCTGCAAAACTAGCACCCTAATTCTAGGTCTTGCATGCCGTTTTATATCATTGGCTCGGGGCCGGTTTATGATTTATTCAACTGGGCCCTGAGCTAAAGCCCACTGAAGACAATGGACAGAATCTTAGTGACTTCACTGGCCTTTGACTCAGATCCCTAGAAAAGAACTGACATGATGTCCTGTGAGATATGTTGCCGGCCTGGAGCCCATGTCCAAGACCTTCTGGAAGAGTTGTGGAGGCTCATCTGTTCCCTCTGACCACTGCCCCATTGTGCTCAGCCACATGGGCACTAATGACATTGTCAGGTCTGACCCTGAGCAGATCAGCAGTTACTACAGGGCTCTGGGATCTAGGGTGAAGGAGTCAGAGGCACAGGTTATATTCTTGTCGTTCCTTCCAGTTGAGAGTCAGGGCCTAGGCAGGGACACACATAGCCTGAAGATGAATGTATGGCTGGCTGCACAAGTGGTGTCAATAGAAGGACTTCAGTTTTCTAAACCATTGGATGCTGTTCTGAGAAGAAAGTCTGCTGAGAAGAGGTGGGGAAAACATGACCAAGAAGGAGAAGAGCGTCTTCACACACTGATTCACCAATCTAGTGAGGAGGGCTTTAAACTAGGTTCAAAGGGGGCAGGTGATAAAAGTTCTTTAAAACTTTAAGAGCAAGAGAAAGCTGAAGGAAAGTATAGGTCCACTACGTACCAGGGAAGGAGAGCTAATAACCGATGATATCAAGAAAGCTGAGGTGTTTAATGCCTATTTTGCTTCAGTCTTCATTAAAAATTTAATGGTGACCAGATACTCAACACAATATTAACAAGGGGAAAGGAATGAACACCAAAATCAGGAAAGAACAGGTTCAAGAATATTTAGATAAATTAAATATATTCAAGTCGGCATAGCCTTATGAACTTCAGCTTAGGGTGCTTAAGGAATTAGATGAAATAATCTCAGAACCATTGGCAATTATCTTAGAGAACTCCGGGTGGATAGTTGAGGTTCCAGAAGATTGGAGAAGGGAAAACATAGTACCTATCTTTAAAAAGGTGAACAAAGAGGACCCGGGAAATTATAGACCCTATTATAGACCAGTCAGCCTAACTTCAATAGCTGGAAAGATACTAGAACAAAGTATTAAATAATCTATTTGTAAGCACCTGAAGAATAACAGGGTTGTAAGAAATAGCCAGCATGGATTTGTTAAGAACAAGTCATGCCAAACCAACCTGATGTCCTTCTTCAACAGGGTTACTGGCCTAGTGGATGGGGGGAAGGAGTAGATGTGATATATCTTGACTTTAGTAAGGCTTTTGACACAGCCCCATGTGACATTTTCATAAGCAAACTAGAGAAAGGCGGTCTAGATCGGTGATTCTCACCCAGGAGTATCCAGGGAGGTTGTGGAATCCCCATTATTGGAGGTTTTTAAAAACAGGTTGGACAACTCCCTGTCAGGGATGGTCTAAGTTTAGTTGGTCCTGCCAGAAGGCGGGGGTGGGGTCTTGATGACTTTGGGATCCCTTCCAATCTTACAGTTCTACGATTTGATGGAAACTCTGATTCTACCTCTTCTCTCCTTTTAGCTGTCCTTAAATAATTGAAAAGATTTCTCTTTAAATAGGCATTAACATCGAACAATTGTCTTTTCTTTTTACTTTGCTTATCCTGAATATTTAGGACTCAACTCGAGGTTGTTAAGCTTATCTTTAACTATGTGTGTAGTCCCATTGACATCAGTGGGGTTGCTCATGTGCTTAAAGTTAGTCATGTGCTTAAGTACCCTGTAGAAGAGAGGCCCTGAAATATCTCCCTTATATGGAAAATCTAATTTAGGTTAACAACAAATGTGATTTGCCTTGTGGGAGCCTTTGTCTCAGTTCCATGACTGAGGGCAAACCACAATGTAGTAATGGACAGATAATGCACTTAACTCAGTTTTTAAACAATATTTTATTGATTTAACAGAAAATCTCTAGTCTGTGGATTTACTCTTTATAATGTCAGCCAATGAGTGTGTTAAAGGAAAAAGAAGGAAAGGGAAAAATATACTGCAGTCTGAATTTTAACCCTTTCTAGATTTATTTGTTTTAAAGTCTGTTGTCTCAAATAGATGGTGTGAAACCAAACCAGCAGCATTGCTTTGGCAGACCAATTGGAAACAGAGACAAAGAAGAAAGGCAAACAAGGACAGCCCAATTTGTGTCGCAGCTCAATACATTAGAGTAGGTCTGTGCCCTGAATCTTTTCTCTGTTCATGCCAGCACTCCTTTGATGATTACTTTATCTGAGGAAGATAAGACATTGTGAATTTGATTATGGCATCACTCCATGTGGTTTGACAGGGCCTCAAGCACATTGGTAAATTGCTGTCTGAGCAGTTCCATTATTATTACATAGCACAGCCGAGAGTTGAGGGCTAAGCTGGAATAAATAGAGAATTTTTTTTTTAAAAAGATAACAGTCACTCTTAGCCTTTAAAGAAATTACTCTTTTAAAGTTACAGTGTCTTCTCATTACTTGCAATGTCATTCAGTTAAACATTAATAATTGCTGGACCGTGTATTACCTACAAGCTCAAAGCAATCTCAGCTTCACAAACCTGGAATGTCATTTTTGTCCACATTTATAGAATTTAATCAGTACTTAAACTGTAAAGGACTGACAAGGAGAACCGTTGATGGTAGTTGCTTTGAGACCGATCATATAATTTTCAAGCTGAATTTTATGACTATGCAGTATTTTAACAAGGAGGACACTACAGGGACCATAATTTTAACAAGAGGAGGTTTTTACAACACATTCTCTCTCTCTTTTAAGTCTGGGACTAAATGCACGTAATAGTCTCTCAGTTTAAGGACTTTTGACTTGGTACGAACAAGGTAGGACATCTGAAGAGAAAGAGTTTATATCCTCCCATGACCATTATAAGTTTGGAAAACTGATGACTATCATTATTATAAACAACCAGACATTTTACAATGCTTTAAAAATGTAGGGCCATACCCTGAGCTGAGCCTAAGACAGTCTGAGCTGGTGTAGTTTACACCTCCTTCTGGCCCCTTCTCTCTGTGAGGACTGCAGAAGAAGGGAAGAAAGAAAAGGAGGGCTCTTGGAAGGACTGACTGGTTTTAGGAGGAAGCAAAAATGCTCTTCGTGGGCAAGGAGAGGTGAAGCAGGGAGAAGTATGAGTGAAGCCGTGACCAGAGCCACAAGACGAGAGCAGGAAGCGAATGTGAAAATGGGGACAAGGCTATGTAGGGTCCTGTAGGTGAGGAAAAGAAGCTAGAATTTGCTGAGGTAAGAGACAGGCATCCAGTGAAGGGATTCATGGAGCGGGCGACTGCCACCTTCTCTGCAATAAGAAGGAGATACTTGAATCTAAATCTATGGCCCCACTCCACCTTTAATCAGGCAAAAGTTCCATGGATATCAATGGGGATTTGCTTAAGAAAGGGCTATGTTCAAAACCTCAGGATGTGGCCCTGTGTGTTGAGATGTGGTATTACTGTGGGCTACGTCAGTCTTACCTGACCCCTTCAGCACTGTGCATTTTGATTGGATGTCTACTCAGATGACAGGCTGTATAGAAGTAAAGAATTTGGACAAGCAGCCAATCAAATAACACAATATTCAAAAAGCTAAACTAATTCAGAAGACGACCCTAATGGAGGAAATACGCACAATGGGTGAGAGCTTCAGAGTGTACATAGGAGGGTTAACAATTCAGTGTATGTATCTCTCTCTCTCTTTTACCTTCCTGTCAATGCTGAGAGAGTGGGAGGGGTATTGAAAAGCTGACCCCCATGTTTGGGACCTCAGTTGCCCTATTGTCCTACCACAAGGTTCAAGTAACTCCCATCAATGTCAGTAGGTAGTGTGACCTATGAGTGATAACCAGTGCTGGTCTATTTCTACTGTCTCAGTTTCACAATATTATTTTGTGACCAAAAGGTACAGTAAGCGCCTCCATAGGATACAGTCCTGCAAAGCCTCCCTTGTACAAATAGCCCTTACTCATGCAAGCAGCTCTATGCAGTTTTTGGGGACTGCTTATATAAATGAGAGTTGCAAACTCCAAGCCGTATGCTCTACAGACTAGTGTCACTCCTATTTCCTCCTTAACTGACATGGTGTGCATTAAGCTGAAGCAAAGAGGGGCCCCTGCTTTGATGTGCTGTGCTAGAATCCAAGAAAAGTGTATATTGAGTATTTTAATAATTAAGAATTATGGGTTTGAAAGCAAAGCTGTTAGCGTTGCCAAGCTCAACCAGGGTCTTTGGAAAGTACTCAGTTGAAATGAGTTTCTAAGAAGAAATTATGTTATAAATTATTTTTATGGAATGTTCAAATGTTAAATGAATATTTAGGCTGCAGCTCATGAAAGCCTCCCTCTTCTGAAAAAATGTTTTCATTTGACAGATTTCTCTTTGTCAGCATTTCTAACAGTAAAAATGACAAACTTTCATGGGTAAATGCCAATGGAGACAGCTGTATTTTATTATTGAATACTTCTGGTGCTTAGTTTGGCACCAGTCCTGTTTATATTGCTAGTAAGATTTCATGCAAGCCTTTGCAAGGTCGTGTGTTCAAACTTAAATGTCTGATATGGTTTGTAATTGATTCCATCCCCCTCTCCTTCTCAGTCCAGTTTGCAAAAGAGAATTTATCACTGAGGAACGCAACCCTCCCATGTTGCAAACTCAAAGACAAAAAATTCCATAGCAGGACTCTTAAAAACCTCTGCTTCTATTATGATTCTCTTTCACTGTAGGGGAATGTGTCAGTTCCTGCTGTTACTGCCCTGGGATTCTTATTTTTTTCGTATGTTTGGATTAATTAACTTTTCTCAGCATTAAATCAAACCAACCCATGTGTCCCACATCTTAATACCAAACATCCAGCTATTGGCTGCACCGCCAGGTTCCTTCTTTTTCCATTACTTTGTCCAACATCCTCTAGGTCTGATTTACTCCCATTCACTTCTATCGCTGTGCTTGGCAATTTACTGCAGACTTGAACTGGAGCTGGGCAAATATCACCAAATATCTTCCCAAGTCGGGCGGGGGAGGGGACATTTGAACTGAAAAAGGAATTAGCTTTGTACTTTTATGCCCACGTTCTGCATGCATTTGAACCAGCGAGTCTTATTTGGAGGAAGGTTAGCAGGAAAGTAATGGTAGGCTGGCCCCATCATGTGTTTGCACTGGCAAGTGTCTGTGTTATATGGGATGGATTAGTGATTGGACAGCAGGGGAAGAGAGAGCCCAAAACTCCTCACCAGAGCCCTGACACAGAGACAAGTAAATGATCCATAATCATTTCATCCTGGCTGACAAATGGGGAATCCCGTGGACACTGAATTCACTAGCTAACTTGGCAATGTCATGTTCTACCATTAGGGCACTCCGTGAAAAGCGAGCGGGCTGGGGACTATCTGCCCTGTGCATTCCCTTATGTCATCACACCTCCCTCTACTGTTACCATGTCTCCCTCCCCATCCTTGTTTACGTGTTTATTTATCTGTTGTGTATTGTCTAAACCCCTAGATTGTGAGCTCCAAGGCAGAGAGGGGTTTTGTGTTATTTGTTCGTGTGATGGCTAATACAGTAAGGCCCAGAATCCCTGTCTGGGATCCAAAGGCTCCCATAATTGAAATAATAATTATGAAGATGTGCCACATTTTTATAGCATTCTGTCATTATATAAGACCATACATTATATTTCACACTATTTAAAATGAAGTCTCACTATTACCTCATTTTATATCAAAATAGCTTCCACAAAACACATTCCCTACACACTGCTACTAAATATTTTACGGAGAGATAAAGTGGGTTATTCACAGTCACCTCAGGTTTCTCTCTTGCTCTGTATTCTGTGCTGTGCTGCTGTTGAACTGTAAAGGTACCTTACCTCATTACTTTACATTTGCCAACAGTGAACGGCATGTGCAGCTTATCTTCCCATAACAAATTTCTCCATATCCACACCTGGAATGGCAATGACTTTGTTTAAGAAAAAAAGTACTGTATAGGAACACTCGGAGTTCTACCCCCCGAAATATCTAGAAACTTACTGCAGCAATAAAACTATGGATACAGCTGGACAAGGTGTTGTGAGGGTTTTTTTTTCTCGGGGGGCGGGAGGGGGTTCAAATGAAAATGAAAGAGTACATGGTAGAGTTCAATCTGGAGGAAAGGTTATATTTGCACATCATGCAGATATCATTGGTGACAGATTTCAGAGTAACAGCCGTGTTAGTCTGTATCCGCAAAAAGAAGAACAGGAGGACTTGTGGCACCTTAGAGACTAACA